GTCTCAAAAGCAAAACCTGGACGGGTGTCGCAGACGATCGTTGGGGTCGGGCTTGGGGATAGAGATATCAGCTAAGATACGATAATCCTTTAGAGCAATTATACTGGGGAAGTACACGGCATGTCATAACAATTTACAAATAATATCCAGTCCTGTCGATCTTCGCGATCGGGTGGTCATGCCACCTATATATTTTGAGACATTTAATATGATGCGTTTCTATGGTTATTAGGTATCAAACTCTTTTACATATCACAACATAAACTTTATGAAAGAAAGACACTTAAGATGTTAATCAATAGATGAGGCATAGTCAACACACATGAAAAAGCACAAAATATCTTTGAGATGACCCCTTGGGCGCCTGTAGGCAGCACATGCATTTCATGCCAGGTGAGTCAATGGTCCGTCGTCATACCTGGCTGAGCAACCTAATTGCCATCTATAGTCTGATCTATTGTTTTCAGCAGCTATTCGTATTTTTTTCTAAGTTTTGCCCGATTTTACGAGTAAACATGCTTTTCTGGATATCCTATTACGCATCCCACTGAATGCCAAGTTAGGCCGAAGTGGTTTTTTTCGACATGTGCTATTTGCAGTTGTGTCAATTTTAGGGATACAGAGTAACAGCCTAAAAACAGTTTTTCTCTATTTTCGACAGTACTATAGTTCCACACTAATGTGTTGTCTGCGATTTTATGACATGGCAGGATTAGATATGTTGAAAGTGTGAGCATGAATATCGCTATTGTCATTCACAGCATGACAGCACGTTCACTCAGTATTATCATGTTGCTGTTCTTTAGTAGTGAGTGAGTTTAGTTTTTAAGCTGCTTTTAGCAATATTCCAGTAATGGGCTTCACACATTGTACCCATCTGGGCAATCAAACCGTGGTGTGTTCTTTAATATATACTGTATAATCAGCAAATAAACAATAACATAAGGGGGTTATGAGACAATTCTATTCCAGATGTTTGTTTGTTATGTTAGAAGAATTTGTTATTTCATTTGACATAATAAACAATCTATTAAGTGTTGCTGTTATTTCAGTATTAAAGATATAATTAAAGGTACAACTTCATACATTATATTACAGCTATTGTATGGTAGCATGGAAATAATTGTGTCTGGACCAGACAATACATTGATTGATATTATTAGCAGACATCTCCACAATAGGGATACAATAACATGAACTAATTAAGTCATTGAGCTATATTTTTCTAGATACAATGGTAGTTTCCAAATCAAGTTCTCCCTACAACTGCAGTCAAATTTATGTGATTTATTATTGTCTATATTCATTCAGTCATGTACAGGTAACTAATAACTTTGAACAAATTACACATAACAATATTGCTCTATTGATCCCTGTACATATGATATGTGTAGTGTAAAGGACAACACAACCACAATAGTGAATAATCAATATCTTTCATTACAACATTTGTATTTACCATGTTTACCTGAGTTGAAGTGAAACGATACAAGTTCTCACTGTGTATGGTACACAATGTACACCATAGTAACATAGTTCGCTAAGATCAAACTCCCCAAATTAGTGTCCATGATTATATTCCAATGGACATTGTACACAAGAACATATGGTCCCTTTATCAAGGTCTTCAACAAATTTACTAATCAATTGGAAATTGGAAATTTCAACCTTGATATTGATGAAAATGATTTAAAGGAACACACTTGATCTCGCATGATGTAGATAAATCTGATATGCCTGGGAGTTTATACATCTTATGTTCTGTTTTCTTAATGACTGAATATTTAATGATGATCTTATGCTATACAAGTGATATATTGACACTGTAAGAAGTCAGGTCTGGGCCACAAAAAAACACTCACTGATCATGATGTTATGATCAATGTCCCTTGCCATTGGAGGTGACACACTATCAACCAATATCACAAATAGTCACATTGTCCTCGTATGTATCACAATACTTTTGAGAACTATTGATATTTGGCTAATTAACTGGTCACAATATACAACTCACTGACTAGGATAGATATCATTGTAATCCTGTCAGAAGATCGAACCGAGATATTTTAATTTTTGTATCACCAATACAATGTATCACCATCACATTGATAGTGACATACTTGTGGATTATCAATATCTATATTTCAGCCAAATAAGTCCTCTTGATGCTTATGACAAGACCAGGGGGGAAGCCATAATCGATAATTATGGTTGTAATTGAATATTGCAATACTGATGCATTGACTTTGAGTCCATATATCAATACCCAACTTCCCCATGACAGGCAGCAGAGTAATAAGATTTGCAGGTGTTCATCTCTTTGGTGACAGTTGTGTATAGGTATTTGATGCTGACGGACCAAAAATAATAACCCATGACAGCAGATTCTGACAAAATATGGGGATGCAATTCTACACAGAATGGCTGAGCACCTTAGGCCATTGTTAAAAGGACATATACACCATGCACACTGTTGTACATTGTAATACAAACTCAAAGTGATAAAAATACAAAGGTAATACCCACATAAACTCATTTAATCATATCAGCTGTTAATAATAATAGATCCTGCTTCTGAGGTAATATCATCTCATTCAACAGTATCCCAAACCTGATTTCTTTCACATATTATATACTCATATTAGTAAAATGATAAAACACCTGTTCTAATGGAACGGCAAACGTCTTTGTTGTCAATATGAAAAGCATAGATTCTTTGCGTCTAGTCAAAAATATTATTAGGCAATAAGGTAATTAATACTTTTCCACATCTAAAAAATATATTTCTACAACAAATTATAATGAAATTGCTGGCTGATCAAGCCATAGCTAGTCGCACGAAAACCGAGCACCTGTTACAGTTTCATTTAACAATAAAGGTGCCACTGCACGTTCGTCTTTAAACACAAAATACAACGGTTCTTACCTATTTCACGCCCATAATTCCTATAAACTTTAGCAGCTTCGATGAAACCATGCCATTATTTTTCTTACAACCATGTGTTAGTCATTAATATTTGTTCCACCACAATGCATAAAAACATGCAAGTATTATGACGGCAGATGCAGTACTGTCACGGGCAGAATGGAGAACATGTCCAGTAACACCAATGAACGTATCTGAGAAATTGAGGGGTATTTTACTGACACAATTCCAATTGTTAAAATATTATTATGAGACCAAAACGGTTTTCGAGATATCGTTTCTCGCTGCGGACCATCTTTTATCACAATGTATTCGTGCGACGATTTATTTTTCCGAGAACAGTGTTCTAAGTCATGGAATCGCACAATAATCTTTATTGTAATTTTGACAAGTAGATAATAATCAATTTGTTTTAAAACTTGGTTTTCTAATCCGCCCACACTGAAATACAATAACATCAATCAAAAACATTCTGTTTTATTCCGCCATCCAGAAATACGTCAAATGTTTGGGTTTGTTTAAAGATAACAAATTATCGTCGAATAAATCATTTCAGTTACTACAATTAAAACCTGTATGGATTCTTTAAATCTTCATAACAACGAAATATGAAGGATATTTACGTAGATAGATAATTTATGTACATGTGGGTATGACCAGATAATAGATATGGTCCCTGGTAGGATACATGTCATCGTATCCCAATGCGTGGATCGTTGCTCATGCTGTTGATCACTGGGTTGTCTGGTCCAGGTTTGATTATTTACAGACCGTCGCCATATAGTTGGCCATAAGTGAGTCATCATTAGTGAAATTCCCATAGATTTTCGTGTTAATTAATTCTTGCAAGAATAATTTTCATTAATTTTGCTTCGGTCGAATTGCTTTCAATACTTATCTACCAGTTGGGAAATCATCTCAGCTACATACACATAATTTCCATTCAATTTTCCGATGATTATTAAGAAAACTGCAACTATTTAAACAACATATATTCGACATACCAATCAGGTTTAACATGGCTGTCTATGGAATAGGTTAAATTAAGTTGTACTTATAGTGCTTAATCAGGTGTCATTCGATAACAAATCAACGGAAAGGTGAAAGAAAATTTATGTACACGTAGCTGAAGATGATTTCCAAGATTTTTGCAAAACATAAAAATAAAATGACTTCTACTCAATTTATGAAAATCATTCTTGCAAACCGTTAATTAACATGTAAGTCTATGGAGATTTCACTAATGATGACTCACTTATGGCCAACCGCTGTAGCTGGCATATTGCTGAGTGCGGCGTTCAACAACAAACATAATCAGTTTCTAAGGGGAAAGGGAAATAATACACGCTTTACACCCATATGATGTACAGACTCTACATTTCACAAAATCCTTTTTTGAAGATTTCTTACTTGTCAAATCTAGAGCAGTAAATTTGATGTATATAAAACCCAGTATGTTTTTCAGTTTTTTGAGTTTCGTGATCCAGCTCTAACGTCATATCCAAGGTTTCTACTTGACAAGTCAAGTCTTAACCATAGAGGCTTCGCCTATAAATCGTGTTCGCCATTTCAAAACATTTCAACACAACCGCGACGAGTAACATAACACTGAAAAATAAATGGATGACATATCAGGAGCGGATCCAGGATTTGGGAGAGGTAGGGTGCACATAAATCATGAAGTCCAAAGGTTAGGGGAAATGATCCTCGGGGAAAACAATCAGGGGAGAGGAGGGATGCGCACCGCTACCCCACTCTGAATCCGCCCCCTGCATATGTAAGTCGGTAGCTTTAACTCACTCACTCGTGTGGTGTTCTGCACTATGAACATTTTGCTTGAAACCAAAATTATTCGCCAAAATACGCCTGTTTTAGCAACGGAGGGAGTTTTCCTTGTTTTGGTATTCATATGGTATTATTTTTAGCAAAGTTGATGTGTATATTAGCCATCAATAATATAGTTAATTCACAGACATATTTAACAATTATTGAGATGTTATGTTTCACGTAAAGAGAGTTTTCGAGCTGAAACGAGCCACTTGGCAAAATTGGATCAATAACTGTTGCGCACGCATCTTCACGAAGTAATGGCGGACAACTTGAAAAGGTAAAATATTTGAATTTTTGTACCACGATCGGTATTTGTTTCGACTTGCATAGATTTTGATAAAACGATGAGTTAATTCACATGCTTCAAATTTTATAATGTTATTTTAGTTGTTTTTTAGTCATAATGAGTAGATCGGTATATTTTAGAGTTGAGTGTCAAAAATGACCTGAGAGACGTCATGTCATTGAAAACTTACTGTTTTGTTTTTGGATTTAAGAGAACTTGAATTGATTATATATGCATAAACTCTATGCACGACATTTGTATGCGCAATGTTTTCATGCTAAAAGAGACAGATACGCGCGAGATTAACAGCGGATTTATTCGCGTGTCACCGCCGTGTGACTCCGTGACCCCTCGTGTCACTCCATAGCGCTGCAACCTCAACTCTGCATATCAGTTTCTGATGAGTACGTATTGCATATCTTCCTTAACAATAACATAAGTTCGACTTTCACGAAATCTCAGAAAGTACCTTCAATGTACACATATATGTGCATTTTCCACTTTGTTGATATTCCATGAGGGAGTGGAGTTTGCCCTCAACATCGTTCTACATGTTCTAAAAGTCAGGGATTTGCTTAAAAATTGACAATGGACGCAACAAAATTTATTATTATATTTTGTAAAAAATCCAACCAAGTGACAATTATTAGGTATCACTGAGTTTGCTACTAGCTGGATTATGGTATTATTGGCAATTTAATTACTGTAACAATGTGATGATCATGATACACAATACAATAACAGTATTATTAATAAAATTTAAGTGTCTGGGACCCCCATTTTGTTGTCCAGGACCCATGAAAATTAAGAGTATGAGTCCCATGGACCCTCAAACACAGGACTCCATGTAAATCCCTGAAAAGTTGTATGTTTCTGAATCTGATTTATTACTCTGTAGGTCCTAAGTTCCTACGTATGTACAGAGGGAAGGAGGAGCATGTTTACAGTTAATGTTTGTAGTTCTCAAGAGCAGCTTTTGCCTACCTTTAGAATAGAGCATCACAAACTTTAAAAATACGTCATAATACCCTTTTACGTAATGTAATGTGATTTTGTTCGAAAGCATGTTCTCGAAACAATGCCTTATGACGCCTGCATGGCAACACGGTGGTCTAGCTCAGCAAGTGCGTATAAGCTCGGCTCACTGGTGTTTCATCTCTACTAGCTAAGTCATTGCATAAGCCTAACGATGTTGAGAGTTTCCAGAAGTTGTATACCGACTGATGCGCAATTATTTGCAAGCCCCAGTTTGAAATATTTTTCTTTTTTCACTAATACGCTCACATTTATTTGTATTACGGGGTGCTGAGGTGTTATGTTTTGTGTATTATTGTATTTTGTTTTTTTTATAGATTTAGCGAGAATGCGTTACACCAGTCTATATTTTATATATTCGATTATTCTAGCAATTTTTGCAAGCACCAGTTTGAAATATTTTTTCTTTTTCACTACTACGGCTCACATTTATTCAATCAGTTTCTTGTTATTAGTGAGTGGCACGTGTGTCACGGGTGCTGAGGTGTTATGTTTTGTGTATTATTGTATTTTGTTTTTTTTATAGATTTAGCGAGAATGGATACCGTCCCTCGTTACACGGTCTATATTATATATATTCGATTATTCAAAATGCAATTTTTCACATTAAGCATCAATGTAATTATTTAAATTATGTAAATATATTTTATATTTCGGTTTCTAAGTAACTATTAAGTCTAAATTATTTACCAATGTGAACTGACATACATATATATTTTTTTCATTCAGTAATTTGCATCATTACATAGAAAAGTTTTTTATTAGTATTTTATTTTTCGAAGCGGTAATAATGCATTACACTGGACACGTCAGTCATGTTTGTGCCTGTTAGGTCAATGCATTATTAGAATTATTTCAAGGGGTTAGGTACATTAGGGTTAGGGTTGAGGTTTAGGGTTTAGGGTTTAGGGTTAGGGTTAGGGACCTAATCCAATATAGTAGATACATGTCCGGTGTAATACGTGAGTACCATTTGTTGTTTTTCCTTTTGCATTTTAATACTGCCGGTTCGGTCAATGCATTCTATTTATTAGGATTATTTCAAGGGGTTAGGTTTATGGTTAGGGCTGAGGATTTAGGGTTTAGGGTTAGGGTTAGGGACCTAATCCAATATAGTAGGTACATGTCAGGTGTGAGTACAATTTGTTTTTCCTTTTTGCATTTTAATACTTTTTTTTTTCACACAAAAACGCGAAACCAAAAACGTCGAAAGTACGCTATGATATGGTTTAATGTAGAAATTTTGGGCTAATGGAAATTGGCCTGGAATTTGCACTCAAGCCTCTTTCACACGCAACATAAATTTTGTTCAGTAATGATTCGAAGGCTAACTCACCCTCGTGCCGTCACTACACATGCTCATGTCTCCCACGTTCCTTAGTGCGATCCACATTATCCTTACAGTGTTCCCTACATCACTTTTCTGTCACAAAATCACCGTTTTCTTATTTTTTCTGCATTAAATTTTTTTGATAAATGACGCTAACCAATATTTTTCTATGATTGGTCGGTTGTAATAAACCAATCATCAATTTTGAGATTTTAACCAATTCCCAACACTAGTTGCTTGGTGTGTGTTTGTCTCCCTTCTTGAAGACGCTTGAGATGTTTGCGTTCAGCCAGTCCTTGGGGAGTACTCCTTGGTCGATGGATAGTTGGAATATTTTGCTGAGGCCTGGTGAGATGTTATTCGCACATTTCTGTAAGATGGTATTTGGAATAAGATTTGGGCCACTGGCTTTGTTAATATTGAGGTTGGCCAGTAGTTTGGTTATGCCATTGGAGTCCATCTTGATGTCTTGGAGCGTATGTGTGATGGCTTTCCTTTCTATGGGTGGGTGATCTTCTTCTTTGTTCTCTTTCGTAAGGACTGACTGGAACTGGTCCGGGAGCACATTGGCTTTACTCTTGCTATCACTCACGGCGTTCCTTGTTTTTGAGGGGTGATACTCCGATATTGTCAAGTTTCCTTGATTTAATTAGGCGCCAGAAGGGTTTACTGTTGTTTCATTTCAATTCCCTCCTCGACATTATTGATGTATGTTCATTCTGCTTTTCTTAGAGTTTGTTTGCATTCGCGTTGGTGATGTCGGTAGTTGTTCCAGATCTTGGTGTGTTTTGCCTGCTTGTATAGCCAGTGTTTCTTTCTCAGCATTTTCTTTATGCTTCTGTTTACCCAGGGTAATGACTTCTTTGTGCTGGATAATCGGGATGGTACATTATTGTCTATGCTGGATGTTTTTCTTTCTTTAAAGTATTTCCATATGTCGTTGATAGCGTATTCTGCTTTGTTGTTTGTCATTTCGGTGATGTCGTTGGAGATGGTGTTGCAGTCATCTTTCAGCTGGACCCAGTTTGCTTGTGAGAACTTGTATAATTTCCGTCTCTTCTGTATGAGATGGTTTCAGTCATATCTGAGTAGTCGGAGCCAAGAAGTGTCAGTTAAGGGTGTTACTTCATCGAGACTTGAGTTAACCTATGGAGTTCCTCAAGGGTCGGTCCTTGAACCGATTCTGTTCCTGCTTTGTGTGAACTCACTACCAGCAGCTATAAATAAGCATGGTTGCAGCCACTATATGCAGATGACACCCAGCTCACTACCATCTTGAGACGGAGCTCACTTCTGGCAGACCTTCAGATTGTGGCTGACTGTGTGTCTGACATAAAGAGATGGATGACATCTGGAATGCTGCAGCTCAATGACAGTAAGACTGAACTGTAGATAGCCGGCAGCCATAGGCAGCTGCAGGGAGTATCAGTCTCTGGTGTCAAGGTGGCATCCTCTGTCATTCAACCTTGCTCTGTTGCCAAGGACCTTGGTGTGTACATAGACTCTAATCTCTCTCTTGATGTCCACATTAACCATCTACGTAAAGTCTGCCGTCACCATCTCAGAATCATTAGCTCAATCCGCCGATACATCACCACAGACTGTGCCCATGCCTTAGTAAGATCTCTTGTGCTTTCTAGACTTGACTATTGCAATAGCCTCCATGCTGGATTTAAACTCTATGCAAGTACAGAAACTCCAAACAATTCAAAATACTGCTGCCCATATTGTATGTCTGAAATCTAAGCGAGATCACATCACTCCATCACTCAATTTCTTACAATGGCTCCCTGTTAAGTACTGTGTCAACTTCAAAATCCTGTGCCTTGTATATAAATGTCTCCACAGTCAAGCTCCAGAGTATCTATCTGAACTTCTTACACTGGACACCCCTACAAGATGTCTAAGATCTCAGAATCAGCACTTACTTACAGTCCCTAAAGTCAGACTTGTCTCCTATGGTCAGAGGACCTTTGCCTACACTGCAGCATTGCTTTGGAATTCACTGCCAGTTGACATCAAATGTGCCGACTACTTCTCCCTAGCCTTCTCTTAGATCTTTTCTTCCTATTTAACTACAACTATTTGTAATCTCCTGTCTACATTGTACATAGACTTACCCTATTTGTAGTGCCTTGAGTGAGCATTGAATGCATGGATACAGGCACAGTTACAAATACCCACTATTATTATAATTATTATTATCCCTCGCCGCTCGTTTAGCGCGAAACGGGGGATATAGTATTAGGTCCGTCCGTCCGTCCGTACGGATTGGAAAATCTTAAGAACCGTTGACTGGATTCTTTTCATATTTGGTACCTAGGTTCATCACAGTAAAAGGAAGGTGCCAGTCAGGTTTGGTGACCTTGACCTTCATTTCAAGGTCACAAGGGGACTTTAACGTTTTACCTGCACGTTAAGCTATCTCAAGAACCATTCACTGGATTTTCTTCATATTCATTACCAAGCTTTATCTAGGGAAGGCGCAGGGCCCAGTCAATTTTGGTGACCTTCACATAATTTTCAAGGTCATGTCGACACTTGGAAGATTTCAGCATGTTAACCCGCATGTTAAGCTATCTCAAAAACTGTTTCCTGGATTTTCTTCATATTTAACCCCAAGCTT